ACGCAGGATTCTACCATTAAAACTGAACCAAGTACTTCTCTTCCATCAACTAAACCCGTGTTTCACCACGTGTGAGCACTGCACGAGGAAGTAAAGTTCAAAACTGCGCATTCTGATTACTCATATTCTTCCTCACAATTCCACAACCTTCCTTTATTGCACAGCAAAATTTGTGAATTCACCTACAGCCAAATTCCTAAAACGTGTCTCAGCACTTTCAAATAATCTAACGGCACGAGCACACAAACGAGTACGTAAATAAGCAAAACTCAGTAACTATTTCAAGCTCCTGTTCCTAGTGAACATTTTCACATTCACAGAAGTCGCTCAGCACGTGCTTAAGAAACTCACAGCACGAATTCAATCTCTGCTTTCTCTTTACCTCTGGAAATGGTGACTGTAGAGTTGTGTTGGAATTCCAAGGATGCGGTCGTAGATGGACGTAACTTCCCTGAGGTTTCCCTGCTCATCTTCCCAGTTTATATACATTTCCCATAGTCTGTCAGAACGGAAATCTGTCCCAGCAGCTAAGACTGCATGTTCATAGGCTCTGAAAAATTAAATAATTTCACAGTTGTTTCTGGATGTGGTGACAGAACAAAGAAGAGAAGTGCTGGCTCTTATTTATTTAAAGATTATGAACATCCTCATTTACTTGCAACCACACTTATATTCATTATTTAAATTCTTCAAAGTGTTTTCTAGATACCTGTAGCAAGATCTCTAGAATTTCAGAAAGTTCGCACTCTGTTTTTCTTCCTTCCAGCATTACCACAACAGAACAAACAAAGGTAACAGAAAAAGCCACTTGCAAGAACTCAAGTTATTAAGAAAATACGAAATCTTTACCACTTGTAAAGATTCTAAAAACATTACTTTAGCAGTTTAACACACAAAAGCTATGCATCAATCGTGGAGCTAGAAGCTGCTTGTTTAAGTTCAATTAAGGTTTTGGGTCAAACTTTAGTCCAACCTCTTACTCTAACCAGGACGACTGCCCGCAACAGACGAGGTCAGACACATCCTAGTCATACCCTGAAAACCTCCAAGGAATTCAGTTCCAATAATCCTGCTCCAGTGCTGCACTAAGTATTTCCTAATGTTTAGTTTGAAGCTCTCAAGTCCCAACTTTTGACCCCTGTACCACACAGGATTGCCTACCCCTTCAAGTTCTTCTGGAACTTGAGGCCTTGAGCAACCTGGTGTAGTGGAGTGTGTCCCTGCCCATGGCAGAGGGGTTGGAACTAGATGGTCTTCAGGGTCCCTTCCAACCCAAACCGTTCTGTGATTCTGAAACTTGGCTCCATCACCTCTTCAAAAACCCTGTAAGTAACTGCAGGCTGTGACCAGCTTGCCCCTTGAAGACACGAATCTGATCACACTGCTGGGTGACCGTGTGTGGGCTTCTCACAGCACCCGTCTGCTTTCAACTTACCCTCGAATAGTGCTGCTAGTTTCAGGATCGGCAGGGTCCAGGGTCTCCTTTAAGAAGTTTATATAATGTATCCAAAGATCAACGCTAAGAGGAATTGCCTGAAGCCCTCTGCGATAAACCTATGAAGAGAAGATGAACTGTACTTCAAATACTTACTGGCGTCCTAAGAGAGAGGCAACACTGTGTTGTCCGGTGAACCTTAGAAATACTAATTACTGGAATTTTGTTTAAATAATCTACCATTACCATTTGGGTGGAGGTTGGATAGAACATGGCAATGTTCTGATCTCCACGTGCAGAGTCTTGATCTTCAAAGCGCAGCGGTCCCTGCATTCTGACCAGGTTGTGTGGGCAGGCTTTGGGGTACAGACCATAGGGCACAGACCCATTAGAGCATCATTGACAGCGTCTGACCAAAAATGCAATAAGATGTAGCAATTGTGACCAGCAAACCAACTATATTGTTGTGAAAACGAGCAAAAAACGTAAGTGACAGAAAAGCCCTGCCCTACTTGTTAAGCTGCAGTGTAATACAGAGGCTTGCACTGCAAAGCTTGACAAACTGTAGAGGTTTAACGCACCTGCCAACAAAGAGAAAAAACATTAGCTACAGATGCCACAGAGGTGACAAGTGCAAACAAATTCCCTGCACACCTGGCCACACACGGCAGGCGCTGGCAGCCAAATGACCTGCAGCAGGTTGGCCATCGTCTGGCCAACAGGACAACGGCGAGAGCTGCGCCCAGCGGCCTACCTACCTCATCGGACTGCTTCACGTTGTCGTGGCGCTTCTCCAGGTCCGCGTACTTCTTCCAGTACCCATAGCAATACGGGTAATGCGTGAAAAACCTGTCGAATGCTCTCCTGGCAGCCGGTAGGTGGTTCTGCAAGAAACCAACAACAAAAAAAAAAAAAGCAATGAATCTGTTCCTGAAAAAAAAAAAAAAATCCTCGTACCATTTTAGAAACAATTACTGTTTGAACATTGTCTTAAAACCGACTGTTTTTATTTTGTGATCTCTGCCGACGACACTGGCATGGGCAACTGTCCCAAACCCTCACTGTCTAGGAAAGCCTGATGCACAGTTCCAGGTTTGTCACTGCAATATCCATAACTCGCTTTGGTCTCCTCTGGGTTATTTCTGGAAGGCGAAGGAAAAAGGGGGCACGTACTAACCTCCTGCTCTACATACTGTAGTAGATATACCCATCCTGTGAAATCCTGGGGATTGTCCTCTACTACTTTCCAGAACTTGTCAAAATCTGGAGGGAAGCCAGCCTCAATATCTGATGTCTGTAAACCTTCAATATTTGGAATTTCACCCTCCTGTGCGTCCTCTTCGTTCAAGTCAGCAGAACTGTCAGGGGACTGTTCCATCTCAGTTACACTCATAATCTCTGTGCTGAAGTCCATCTGCTGTTCTTCTGTTGTTGTTTCGGCGCCATCATCTGTGATGTCATTGCTTACAGTTGGCTTCTCCTCCTCTGCATTATCTGTGTTCTCCATAGCTGGGGTTCCTGCTGTTTCACAGTACTAGATCCTGCGGAAATAAAAACATTCAGGATTCACGTGGTGAAGATTCAAGCAGAACTGAGGTGTGAATTATCAGCTATGAGTCTTCCAAGTGCTTCAGGCATTTGTGCGTTTCACCACAGACCTTCGTCATTTAGCCCTGCTTCACTCTTGAGCCTAATTCACAATTAAAAAGACATTAATAGCAGTCACACATTTTAGCATCTGCACATACAAGTCATTGTGGTTCTGCTAAAAAACTGCCACAAGTAGCTGTCGAGATATAAAAGTGAACCAACACAGCTTCCTGCACGAGTCTAGCGGGAGTTTATTCCAAATAAAGAATTATGTTCAAACTTACTCAATCCTCCTGCTTAGTACAAATCAGTAACTCCTCTGCAAAAAAATACATGTTAAAATGTACCCTGGACACCTGGCTGAACTGGCTTGAGCGATAACCTTGCAAAGCAAAGAACTACTACCAGCACCAGACCCAGTCCACAGTAATGCCTCTGTAAACTCACCAGCATCAGAGGGCCACAAAAAAACGTTTAGGCGAGCCCCTCACGTGTAGTTACTCGCTCCCACACACACCTCGCACATCAGGGGTTCCTCCTGCCCCCCAGGACAGACTCCATCTTCCTCCCACTCTTCGTTTTGATCCTCTGCCAAACGCTGTGCCCAGCCCTCCTCTCCTCAAGCCCAGCCGATCTTGGCCTGGGCGCAGGGCACGCAACTCAACCTGCTCCACGTTCCAGCTAGGCCCCAGTGACTAACGGATTCCAGGAAATACAACAGCTCTTAGCTGAGAATACATTGGGGATGAAGAACAGGATGAGACCATCATCCTCAAACGCACTGCAGCAGCAGCCACTCCTACTTCCCTCCAGTTCTCCTCAGAGAAGATGACAGCAAAAAAGTTTTGCATTCCAAAAAAAAAAAACCAAGAGTCCCCACTCCACTCTGTATTTCCCAAATTCTTTCCTCTGAAAACCTGAAAATAGATGGTTTGCTTTCACTTCAACAAATACATCAGTAAGCCATCAATACCACAGGGGGGTAAAAAACACCTGGCAGAAAGGAAAAATATCCATACCCTAAACATCCATACCCTAAATATCCATACCCCATCTACCTATACCCTAAATATCCATACTCTATCTACCCATACCCTAGCTATCTATACCCTAAATATCCATACCCTATCTATCCATGCCCTAAATATCTATACCCTGAATATCTATATCCCTATACCCTAAATGTCCATACCCCATCTTCAGCAGCGTCCAGGCACGAGACAGCAGTTGATGTTTTCCTAGGAGTTCACCACGTCAAGCAACCCTGGCGTGGTGTTAAAGGTCTACGTGGTCTACTCTGCAAGTTTCCCACCAACTGCTTTTCCAAAGCAATTATTTCTGTTCTCCACTGCATGCACCATCCGGTAATCATACAAATACCATTTCTTTCCTTTAAGGTGAGTGGTTCACGATTTTGTAACACTATATGGTAACTGCTCACAAAACAAACAGGTCGTGTCACTGAGAAGTCACACGAAGACGACGTGGCTGCACAGAGCACTGTACTGCTCTTGTTCCACAGGAAAAGAGGAGGTTCTTCCCTTAGTGACCAGTTCTTCCCCACACCCCAGGCCACTCAAGAAGGCCTGCACCTAAAGCTGGCCTCTAGTGAGTGTCGGAGATGCATCTCCAACAGTGATTTTAAGAACAAACATAATTTATAAGTTCAGAAATTAAATCTCAAGGCAGAATCACCATGCCTTTACCAGGAAACACTCGGAAGAGATGTGCATGATTAAAACTGCCACCATCCAGAGCTTACCTCTGCAAAGATTGCAAAACCAAGGCACGAGAGGAGTGTGTTATGCAAACAGCGTCCCTGACACTTGAAAAAAGTTTTATGAAGATGTTTACGGCTCTTAAAATTTGGGAAAGCTACTACAGTTGTTTGCAAACACGTAATAATGTATGGCCTAAATGCATTCTGATATTTGATAGAGGTTTTCCCCCATTAGCTGATTCAGAAGATGTATTCCAGCTTGAAAAACTGGAATTTAGCTGGCTTCAGATTAGGGGAAGGGGAAAAAAAAGAAAGAGGGAGAGGCAGCAGTGCATCACCTCTGCACGCAACGTTTCCAACAGAAACTAAGCCTGCTCCACAGCTGGTTTCCAAGCAAAACGTTCCAGTGCACCTCCAGGGAAACAAGGCACGTCCCGGATTCCTACAGCAGGTTCCAGGACATGATCCCCCCTTGTCCGGCACCAAACGAACGCGCCTCGATCCTTCATTACAGGCAGAGAGAGTTGGGGCTGTTCAGCCTGGAGAAGAGAAGGCTCCGGGGTGATCTTATTGCAGCTTTCCAGTGCCTAAAGGGGCTACAGGAAAGCTGGAGAGGGGCTTTTTACAAGGGTGTGTGGTGATAGGACACGGGGCAATGGCTTTGAACTGAAAGAGGGGAGATTTAGATTGGATAGAAGGGAGAAATTTTTGACTCAGAGGGTGCTGAGGCACTGGAACAGGCTGCCCAGAGAAGCTGTGGCTGCCCCATCCCTGGCAGTGTTCCAGGCCAGGTTGGATGAGGCTTTGGGCAACCTGGTGTAGTGGAGGGTGTCCCTGCCCATGGCAGGGGGGTTGGAACTGGATGATCTTTGAGGTCCCTTCCAACCCAAACCATTCTGGGATTCTATGATCCAGGGGCGGGGAGGACACGACGCCGGAGCACGTTCAGCACCGCCAGCCACGCCACAGAGCCACCCAATTCCCGAGGTTTTCACACTGCTCAGGCCAAATAACCAAACGCCCGACGACCACACGCACCAGCTCCAGATAACTTACGTCAACACGTACTAATCAGCCCGCGCCAATTAAACGTTTGCTGCCCGGGACACCGGCGCTTACAAACACGAAGGAACTAAGGGAAAACACCCCGGAGAAGCGCCGCCCAGGCGGCACGC